ACATCAGCCGTAGAAGCTGCTTGCATCTAACTGCAAGGCAGGTGGGATGGGCATGTTGTAAATTCGCCTTTATGTTCTGATTTCTTGAGCTGTACTTAAAAAGAGCTGGCGGGTGGCATGAGGAATTAAGAATTGTTGTTACTAGGCATGCGGATTTGTGTTTGATGTCACGATAATCACGAACCGTGTGGGTCAGATCACCACATTAGCCACAAGGTGGCTGCAGACTCAGCCTGCCAAATTAAAAAGCTTGTAGCCGGTCGCCCTGTCAGTGCTTTCAGCACAAAAATCAACTTGCCGTCCTAACCATGTGCTTTAAAAATTCAGTTTTAAATAAAATGGATTTTTCTCTCCTTCCATCTCTCCGGTTTTGAAGACTACTATTAAAACTTCAGTTGATAACTGTATGCTCTCAAGGTTTCAGGGTTTTCCAGGTAGAAAATACAGTACTCAGAAGTGATTTACCGTTCTCTTCTTCTGCAGGCGTCCTGGGATTGTAAAGCTTGCATATCGCTACACAGGCTGGCTATTATTCCCCAGGAAGCACAGTTGGGAATCGACAGCCAGGTACCTAAACCACTGAGCTATCCAGCCAATTCAGCTGCTAGGTTTTCCCCTTAAGATTTGTAGGTGCCATGCATATTAGGGGTTGTTATCTGTCTGTCTGATAGACAGATCTGTCTGCTTTCTTTGCTATTTTTAATATCCCGGAGCAGGTCACAGAAAGATTGTCCTGCACACTCCCCCTCCCTGTGCAGAAGGCTGTAGGGGGAGAATTCTATAAATAACTCATGACTTCTTGCTTGTCATCCATCCAATTAAAATTGATCTTTTTACATATTAAGAAATATCAAGTGAAAAGCATTGACTTCGATGTTAACTGTGTTCAGATTCTGGTTCTATTACCCTGCATTTCAAACTGTATTGAATGTTGCACGTATGTTTTCTTTACAGTCTTACAGTGCTTTCTGACCAGGTTTCAGCTTGCCAATTTCCGCCGTATTTTTCGGTGTATAAAATGACACTTTTTACTTAAATAATTAGACAAAAAATTGAGGGTTGTTTTATACATGGAAGGCAGCCACTTTCCCTGCCTTTTGCAAAGCCACAGGGTAAAGCAGCTGTGAAAGGGTAGCAGGATCACAATGGAAGGCAGCCACTTTCCCTGCCTTTTGGAAAGCCACAGGGTAAAGCAACCGTGAAAGGTGGCAGGATCACACAAATTTTCTAATTTGGGGGTTAGGAAAGGGGGGGTCATCTTATACATTGGGTCTTCTTATAAACAGAAAAATACAGTCATGGCAGTCAGAGTAAAATTTAAGATGGTCATTATTGAAAACTGATTAAGCAAAACTAGAGCCAAGTCAGTACCAAACAATATAACAAACTAATCTTGAGGTACAATTTTCATGAACTTATTGCTATTTTCAGCCCTGATTAGTCCAGATGAATAATCCACTTGCACTGATTGAAGTCTTCCAGTAAACCTGAATTATTAATGGGATTTTCTATATCTATTTCTATTGTACTATTTTTAAAATTGATAAGACGCTTCAGGAACATGAGGAAAGATTTAGGAATTCAGTATACTGATGTGGGTATTTTGGTAAATGTTGGGATAGGCATCACCTATAATAGAACATATTATTATTATTGCACACTTAATTTAGAAGCCTTTCAAGCTGCATTAATATAACAAGTTAGCCTCCAAATAAAGAGTATAGTTACATATGTAACAGCCAAGTTCGGATGTAACATGAAACCATGGTTTGTACTAACTGTAGTCTATAAATTGCACTATATACAAATTTTGGGAGAGAAATCAGAATTAAAGGGGTTGACAAAAAGTAGTTGGTTGCTTTAGAATCAGCGGCTGAAACTCAGTTGCTTAGCATAGTAAGCTGCACTAGAGCAGGCCCATTTGAGTCAATGGAACTTATGGAAAAGCTGACTTACCAAATTTCCAATGATTCAATGGGACTATTGTAGTGAAACTTACTATGCCAAGCAATAGGAGTTCAGCCAGTATGTGAAAGCTATATGTAAAGCTCTGTGTAGTTGAAAATCTAGATGAGCTTTTAAAAAAAATTATAGAAGTTCCACATATTTTAGGACATTTAAATCAATAATGGGAGTGATGCCAAAGAATTCTGTAGTCCTGTGTTTGATTATCACATGTTTTATGAAAAACTGTCCTGGTGAATCTAAACAGTTAGAATGCTTTAAAAATATTTTTAAATCAAAATTAAGAAAGCAAGGATGGAGTATTCAAGGACATTGTGACCTCCTGTATAACCATTCAAATTGAATGAGAATTCAGTTTATTGTTTAAAGGAGGAATGCTTCAGATTGCTTAGCAACAAGGATCTAATTTGTCTCACAGACTGACTACAACTGTAGACCACATTGAGATTTCTAGGAAATGAAAATTTTTGGCCTCAATGTTTTTCATATTCCTTGACATGAGTTCTATTTCTAAACGTTCACTAAGTCAGTTTATAATCCATAAACCACTCTCATTTACTGTGCATAAAGCATAAAAAGAATTGTGCATGCAATTAGTCATTAGCTGGTATTAAGTGAGATAATGATATTGTGTGCTGCAGGATTCTGAAATTTATGCTAAAGCAAAATCCATGCCTCTACATCCAGATTTCTCTATCTATGAATTATTCATAAATTTGTGGTTCTTTGTTGGAGAGGTTTACAGTGTATGGAGATTAATTAAATAATTTATTGAACATATGCTAAGTTTATGGGCATTCTGAAAATTACCCAGTCCATTGCCATTAATTACTGTGTTGTTCTATGTTGTTTAATTAACCTTGACTAGATTTCTGCCACCCCCAGAACAAACCTGTCCTCTGTCCACCTTTCTCTGTTGGGGTGTGATAGATCACAATTTGGACCAATTGTGGAACAGTCCAGTATGATCTATTTCCCAATTATTACACAACACATGGGAAAATATGCTGCATCCTTGCCCAAGATGGACCTTTTTGGGGGGCTAAGCTGGAGCAGTCTTCCAGCAGACGGAAGAGTCACTTTAAGGAAGACTGCCTTAATTGAAATGACTCTTTCTAGTGTAATCAGGCACATGCTTATGAAGCTGTCCAATCACGTCCTTTTACCAATTTTACTCTGATTTTCTTTCCTTACACCATCCATCATTGCAGATAGAAGCGTTGTGTATAAGGCGTTACCTTGTAAGTCATTTTCCACTGGTGCAACCTTTCAATTTAAACGGAATCCCCTATCAGACATAATGTGAAGAGGTTAATTCTTACATTAAGTAATTCTTTACTTAAACATTATATATAAGCAACTGCCTATAGAAGAATAAAAACCTAATAGATATGCTTATATTCTCATTACTGTCTAAAGTAGTGGTTCTTGAACGTGGTCCCTAGATGTTCTTGGACTGCAAATCTAAGGAATCCTGGCCAGCACAGCAAGTGGTGAAGGCTTCTGGGAACTGCAGTCCAAGAACACCTAGGGACCCCAGTTTGAGAACTACTGGTCTAGAGGAGCAAGGAAGATACATCTTACTGCATAGCTCATATATGAATAGGAAAAGTCCAGCTCTCTGAATGTTTCATTCTGAGTGGAGAAAGACAGTGTTCCCAAATGTTACACCACTGTTCTTTTTCATAAACTTCACACCAGGGGTTTCTAGCTTCTCCGTTTATATGTCAGAGAAGCTCTTTCCTTTGCTTTATTATTATGTTTTGTTTGTTTGATAAAAATTTGAAGCTTGGTTGATCAGGGGAATGTTATGGATGGCATGTACACTGATTCCAGCAAGGCAATCAGCAAGGCCTACGGTATTGCAGACAAACTGCTAAAATTTGGGCTAGTCAATGATGCTGCTGGATGGGGATATGGAGCTAGTTTATGGACTGTGTCTAGGAAGTGGCTACCAATGGTTCCTTGTTATTTCTGGACAAAAGTGAAAGTGGAATGCCACAGTAGGTCCTGTGTTGGTCAGTGAAAGAATGAAGAGAATACTTTTTAGATTTGTAGATGACACAGTACTAGGAGGGGAAACTAATGAGGCATTGGCTGTGCATATTATTGAGGTGTTGGGTAGATGGCACTAGGTAAGGAAACCAGGAGTGGGAAGGAAATAAGACAGAAGATAGAAACAGGTTTCAAGAAGTTCTTAACAGATAGAA